ATATATATATATATATATATACACACACACACACACACACCATCCTTGTCACATATCATTAAAATAGGATACAATCATTCATATGCATGTTTACAGTGTAAAACAAAAGTCAACTATGGATGGCCGTGACTGTGAGTGTGATGGCCGTGTGCGCAGCTGTGTCCATGACTTGTCCCACCAACGCCCGCTTCAGAGGCATGAGGGTTAGAGAAGGGTGTTGGTCCAGATGCTGCAGTGACATTTGTCGACCAACCTTCATATATCTTGGCTGAGCCACTAACAGCAATGTTGGTGCTTGACGCTGGCGCATACGCCTGCACTGGGTAGGATCCAGGTGTTGGGTTGATTTGAGGGAGGAGTGTTTTCCGCCTGTCCTCGGTGGAAGCTGGGACAAACGCCACCATGCTGATGCTCCTCAGGAAGCGGAAAGGTGGCGTCTTCTCAGCAAGGCCCGCCTTGGCCTCTGAGATGTCAACGAAAGAGAACCATCCTCTTCCGTGCATCCATCCGATGAAAGTGGAGATGATGCTGCAGGGAAGCACCGTGTGAGGAATGAAGACGCTGGTGAGGAGGACAAATACCCACGGGAGAGCCATGGTGGGGAAACTGACTCCACAGAGGAACGCTTTGGTCATTTTTGTGTGCGTGGTGGTGAGGGCCACGCATGCAAGGGCCATAGGTACCAACCCCTCCGTTGGCCCTTTGCCATTGCTCTCCTGCAGAAGATCCAGGAAGGCGTACAACAAGCCTGTCACGGTGGACATCAGAATACACACAAAAAGGAAGCGAACGGTGCCAAAGCCTTTCTCCAAACTGCCACTAAGGAACACCATGGTGCAGATGCTGAGGAGCAGCTGAGTCAGGCTTCTGTGGTAGAAAGGGTACGCGAAGAGTGTGTGCACATGCCCTTTCACAAAAACACTCGCCCCAACACTGAGGCTCCCCTGAGAGGAGTCCAAGTAAGTTTGGAGGCCAAACACTGCACATGAGGTGAGGGTGATCAGGAACATCCCACTCGTAATGGCAGGAACCATATCTCTGAAAAGTTGGACCACAGTCTTTAAATGGCTTGTGTTCATCTTTTGGTCGTGAGGTTATCAATTTAAGCAAAAACTAGGTGGCTTTGCTCGAAGTGGTCTGGAAATGAGCGCAGAATCAGGGAAGGAGGAGAATCCATGCTTCCAAATGTACAGATCATCGCGGGCTAACGCACACAATCATTGCGCATTATCGTTCAACAATTGAAAATACCAGTAATTATATAGTCAAACGAATAAACATACCACGACCAAAGAAGTGCACGAATTTCACTCTATGTTTCCGTCTTGGAATACTGAAACTGTCCGTGTTTGAAATAAGTTCCGGTTCAGCTTTTCAAAACAAGACCTAGTGCTAAAATTGGTGATGACTGTTATGTATCTCGGAAAGTCCGCTATGTGTACATCTTTATTTTGAATTACTTTTCGGTACAGGCTCTACTCTTGCACCGCCTTCGTCAGACAAGTCGGCGTGTCCACTGCTAGTAGGATAGGAAGTGGACCGTTTTAACAAGACTGCACAAGGTTATTTTGTTTTGTTTTCGTCATTTTGGCTGTCACAAATTATGGTACGTATTAATATTGAAAAACTCGCTTTCGCTGCAAGCGTGTATGCTATTTATTTTGAAAATAATACCACAGAAAGTCACGGTTTGATTTTATTGTGGCATTTCCCGCACTGACTGCAGATGGCCTTAGAGTGGAGCCTGCACGGGAAGTGACAATATATAGTGGATGTTCTGCACTTGGATCTTTTTTCTTGCTCTTGATTTTCATTTTCTAATTATTACCTTCTTCTTTGATGTTGGGGAAATAAGATGAGGAAAAAGTTGCGATACAGTAACAGGTGTATAAAAGCACGTTCGGTTGAGCCTTTCAAAGTAAGATAAACAAAAAAAAATCCAACTTTTACACCCCCCCCCCAAAAAAAAACCCACCTAAAAAGTTTTTTTTCATCATAACATAACCCTTCATAATGGAAATTTCAGAGTGGCGCATTTTTAGACTCATCACACTTGACTCCTTTAAGTTCCCCCAAAACAGTGATGTCATCCACACACGAGCAGGGTAAAATGCGGTATTGGAGTACACTCAATTCAAATTTATTTATAGAGCACCATCATAACAACCGTAGATTCACGTCTTGTAGGGATGAAACAAAAAAGATTTGTAAGAATATTTTACTGTTAATTGTATTGCGCATTTAAACATTTTATTTCCTGGGGATGCAAATTGCATTTATTTGTAGAAAGCCTGTATGAAAAAATGCCTTTTGGTACATCATTTACAGGGACATCTCATTGAATAAATAAAATAGAAGCATTATTTTGTTTGTGAGAAGAGCACAACCTTATGTTTTCAAAATAAGCATACTTTAATTTCATTTTATGTAAAGCGTTCAAAGTCTTTTCATGCGGACGGAAAAGGCACCGATTTAGCGATGCAAGAGTTTAACTTTGGTCAGCGGTGTTGCGTTCTGTGCTTAAAAAGTTGAAGCTCGTCTTGGGCCGCTCTTCCGGTGTCGTATGGCGACTGCAGCGGATGTTGATATTTTGCTTACGAGCCTTCTGCTCAGAGATGTGAACTATCGTCGCCGGGACAGCTCGCTTTTGAATTTATCCTCGTTTTTGTCCAATTGGCAATCTCAGGGGAGCCGCTTCTCGGTGAGCCCAGCGTCATCGCGTCCGTCCCGGTGGCGTCTCAACCGGGAAGCGCGGCGCTTCGTCTCGGAGCCGTGCGTGCGATGATGGAGGACTTTGACGAAATCTACGAGGAAGAGGATGAGGAAGAGGACGAGGACAGGGCCGCGGAGGAGCAGCTTCTTAAGTACGCTCCGGATCCGGTGGTGGTGCGAGGCTCAGGACACGTCACAGTGTAAGTGGCCGACGAGGCCGACTGGCATTGGGGCGGGGGAGAGTTCAAGCGTCGCGTGACGATGAGCGATCGTCGGGTGCCCCTAGCCGGATGCTAATTGATTAGCATCCGCCTGTGGTCGAGCTTAGCCCGTTAGCCTCGAGCTAGAGCTAAAATTGAAAGTACAAACTGCTTTTATATATTAATATAGTTTTTAAGCACACGCCTCCTCTTTTATGCCCGCCCTCTGTTTGTTTGTGCTAATGTCAAGCAGTTAAAATGGTTTTGTCTTGACTTTTTTTCAGACTTCGCGACCAGATACTTTAAACAGTAATAGTGTCTTTTCATAAAGCCCTTTGGCGATGCGCCTTCATTTCATTTAATCCTTCTGATTTTAGTTTTGGGCGATCGCTTCGCTTTTCTTATTGTGACATGACAAAAAATAATTCCCTACGAAATGTTGGAAATATAGGGTGTGGATAAAGTCTACATTACAAGTTAATAATTGTATTACTGACGTTCATGAATTAGATCAAATAATATATATTTAAAAATGCGCACTGAACCGAGGTCTTGCGCAGGATTATGACATCATGGACGATGGTTCATAAGCCAAAGTTTTGTCTGAATTTCAAATTGAACGTTTGACTTCAGCATTCTGGTGTCACCTTAATTCTCCAGGTTTGGACTGAGCAACAAATTTGAATCAGAATTTCCTTCAGCGCTTACAGGGAAGGTGAGTACCCATGTCAAATGCATTGTTTGTTGAGTATGCCTCTTTCCGTTGTCAAGCCAAGTCGACTTTATTGTCAAATGTGCTCTATGTGCATACAGCACAGATGAAATTTCTTGTGGCAATATAATCGATACACGCGTCTTGTGGCTTTGTCAGGTCGCACCCGAAGAGTTCAAAGCAAGCATCAACCGTGTGAACAGCTGTCTGAAGAAGACACTGCCTGTGAACGTGCGCTGGTTGCTGTGCGGCTGCCTGTGTTGCTGCTGCACACTTGGCTTCAGTTTGTGGCCTGTGATTTGTCTCAGCAAGCGGGTAATACATGCACGCGCGAACACACACACACACACACACACACACACACACACACACACACACACACACACCCCTGGCACCCTAATAACACGCCAGCCTGATCGAGACACACTTTTCATTGCTGTCTTCCAGACAAGAAGATCTATAGAGAAACTTCTAGAGTGGGAGAACAGCAGACTCTACCACAAGGTGTGTAAAGTTCATACCCCGGCTTTTCTGTTTTTTTTACACCTTGACTTCATACTCAACTTTCAACGTTGCGTTTGCTGTATGGTTGTATGAAAATGTGTTTTTCAAATAGAGCTTGGGTGCTTTTGGGGGAAAAAAATGGATATTGAAATAATGATTCAAAATGAACAATTGTTAATTGATTTCTGAACGTAGTATTTATTCAGATACCAAAACTCAGTCTTAAAAGAGCAACCAGAAAATAAATTGGAAAGAAAGTAAAATAATAATATATATTAACATTAGAGCATTAAAGACAAAAATGAAAATAAATACCAGCTGTTCTGCTCTGCACACCTTGGCCTCTTAGGGGCAGTGTCCTGCCATGCTAGCATGGACTACACACTTGCATGAAAGTCATAATAGCAGAAGAAGAAAGTTGCAATTTGGGCTTTATTCATAATACAGTACCCCATTTTTCACAGATTACGAGGAATATATGTCTTTGAGTAGTGTTATATTACCTGTCTATATGCATTCATACAGTGTTTGTGTGTCAATCTTCATTATTTGAAATCTCAGCAATTGGCAAAATGGCCGCCCCGTGGGATGGTTAAATACGGGTTGATTTGGCTCTAATTTATATTCCACAAACGCAATATTTATCAGGATATAGTGTTTAGACTAGTGGGGCCGTATAGAAGATATTGTGAAGCAAATTTCCCTTTCAAGCATGCCAAAGGAGGGCAGATTCCAATTCGTCACACACCTACTGCACAAGCAACACGGTGCCTTCAGTGTGCTTTCACAACGCAGGAACTATCATATGCCCCGTGTCGTCCAGCACATTCATCGTTTTTCTTCTGGTATAATGTTTTATTTTTTTGTTTTATGTTTTATGATCATGAGATCATGAGAAGGCAGAATGGCAATCACAATTACGCTTCGATTAATTGCCCAGTTCTATTTTCAACCCAGTCTAAACAAGAAAAAAATATTTTGTAACATTAACAGCAAAACAGGTTTATAGAGCTCTGCTGTTTCTTCCTTGTTATTTACATTCCCCAAAAATACGTGCTGCGACGCAAAGAAAAAGGACTCTTCGATATTATTGTGGGCCCTTGTTGATTGTCTGCAGTCTGCTCTTGTGTTGTGAATATATTGAAATGTTTTAAAAATCTCTTTGCAGCTGTGTTTGCATTGGAGACTGAACAAAAGAAAGTGTGAATCCAACAACATGATGGAATATGTAAGTGCTGTGTTGGTATTACGCTACAAAGAAAAAGCAAGTCTGTCATTTTATGTTACAATCTAGTAGCATGTAGAATGTCAAACGCGTTCGATTGCAAGACTTCCAATGTGTTTGGTGTTGGAAATAGTGAAAATAAAACACTTTGGTTTTCTTTTTTTCAGGAACATGATTATTATTTGGCAGCGAGTAGTAGTTCTTGAACCGGTTTAAAAATGACTTCCTCCCACACATAGCCTCTTTAATGTCCTTACATTATTACGTTAATAGCTTTTAAGGTTTTTAATGGTCTGATGTAATTTTCAGTCATATTTATAAATGCTGTACACAGTGTACGACTTCAGTGCAGTTTACATTGATCAGCAATGTAATGTTTCAAGTTATATTTTAAGCCATTTCCTCACTCAAACTGAGATAGTGAAATGTTGCAAAAAGCTACTTGAAAATAACAATTTCTCTTGTCACTGTCAGGTAATCCTAATAGAATTCCTACCGAAGATCCCCATCTTCAGACCCGACTAGCCGATGATGAGATCTTCGCCGCTGTCGCCGTCCCGAGCTGCCGATGGAACTTTTCCTCCAGAATCACTCGAAAGTTTTTTTTGTTTTGTTTACAGGGTGACATCGGCCCTCTGTTTTCATTTCGGATGACTTCTCGCGCGGTCATCTTGTCTTCGCCTTTTGGTTTACAAGCCCAGTATCCTAATGAGTGAATACAGGCGAGCCGGCTCGCTCCCGATTTGGCGGCAGTGTGGATTTCAGGACTGGCGCTGGGAAAACGGGACTCTTCCGTGTTTTGCGAACTCGAGCACAGCGTGACCGTGGTGACAGGAACGCTGCTCGAAGCTCGGCTAGCGACAACCCACCAAATACACCCCAGTGCTTTTGGAAGAGGGCGGAGGGGTGGGGATGGACTGGAAGCTTCAAATGTGTAGCAGGAAGCAGCGGACATCGTTTCGTCACTTGAGCACACTTCACTGTGCATTGCCTGGACCCAGAGACAATCACACAGTCGTGACTGCACTCCACACTCTGGGACAACATATGCCCTGCCCTTAGTTGCCTTGGCAACAAGGAGGTAGGTGAGAAAGAGATGACTCTTTTTTTGTTTGTTTGTTTGTTTTTTCTAACCATTTTGGTCTCACATCACAGAGCAAGGTTACTTTCCGAAAGGCAGCCTTCTGGGTTTTTTTTTTCAATTTCTTATTTTGCCAGACATGTCTTGATGCTTTTTTTTTTCTTTTCATCTGTAAGTGTGTGTGACATGTTTGCAATAGGGCGGAACCTCCAAAGTCGAACGTGTTCAATTTTTGTTGTGTGAAATCTACAAAGCAAGTGTTTTTTATTTTATTTTTTTATTTTTTATACTCCACTGTGATACAAATTTGAAGACAAGTTAACTGTAAAAGTAAACAAAAATAAAGTTAAACTGTTCGCCCCATGGATAATACCTGGCAGACTAAAACTACGTTCATACTGCAGGGCATGACGCCAGATCAGATTTTTTTTTCTTTTTATGTACTTGTTCACATTACATAAACAAATGTGAACTGAATGTATCTGTGAAGTGGCATGCATGCGCATGAAACACGACATCGCCCGGCACTCTTTTTACAAAAGCAAAATCATTTTGTCAAACACCCGTGACAAGTCTTTCTTGACAACGTAAGTCGGATGAGCCAGACTACAGACGCATCTGCCATTTATATCCACATACGAAAGAAGGCCTTCAACAGCTTTGAAAAATCACAATGAATACTGTTCACATTGACAAGAACAGATATGATTCATGAGACATTGGTCCACCTCCCTCAAAAAAAAAAAAAAATGTAATTGACCAGTATAAGCATAGGTGGATATGAATGTCATAATAATAGCTATAATCAGAATTTGGAAGGTGGGGTAGGCTGTTTGTGGCAATTAATATATTTTCCTGAAATTCCAGATGGCCACCCCGCCCCTGGTCAGTGGTGAAACAAAAGCCCTTCGCAATTCGTGGCGCTCTGATCGATCGGCCACCGTGACGTCGTGTTTTGTGTTCTGGTCACAATTAGAAGCCGCATTTGATTTTGTAACGTGAACCATTACATACAAAAAAAATCTAAAATCTAATTTTGGTGTTTGCAGAGCGATGCAGTCGCCTAGTGTTGGTGGTTGTATCTCACTGACGAACAACTCAACAAGGAAAAAAAATTACACAACACAAGGGGTTCTTTTTGTGCGCTGAATCGCGCTTATAAAGAACCAATTCGTCTTGGATAAAAAGCAAAACACCTCTGGAGATTTGCCCAAGTCGAAGTTGAGCTCCTATTGTACATTTTGACGTAGTTTTTGACTTTGGAGGTTCCCGCCGCTTTTAGTGTGTAGCCATGTGTCAGCTGCAAAAAAAAGCACACGATGGATGTGGTTCTTCATTTGGCCTTATCCTTGTTACTTTCTCACCCTGAAGGAGGTTTCCACCTGTGAGTGTGGCCCAGATGAGAAATATAAGAGCGTTTTTTATATATATATATAATTTTTTTTTTTTGTTCTCAGAGTAGCCAATTACTAAAGGTGGCTTAACGTGGTAATAAGCCACTTTTTTTTTTTATTTTGGAGTTTACAACTCGGTAAGCATAGGTTCCCACGGCTTTCATAGGCTTACCTTTCATTTAATGTCATTGCATTTTTGGAAATGTCCCACTTGAAAGATCATCACCGTTACCGTTCAAATGTTGACTAAAACTTCCTGCTTAAACGCCTTCCGTGACGAGGTACTGCTAATGAATAAAGGTTAGCTATTTTTTTTTTTTTTTACAAGATTTGTAGGTAGGGATGGGCATTTGACGACATTTTCTAAGGACTGGGCAAAATCATTGTTAGAAAAAAAAACAAATTAGAGTCCACAGAGTGGACAGGGTTTGCTTTGTTTTTCCATGATGCCCATCCCTACTTGGAACTAAGCGGCATGTGGATGTGGGTCACACTCAGGGGATTCTCATCATCGATCATTATGAAAAATGGAGCACAGTCAGGGTATTCGCTATGGTTATACCACAGTACTTGAACATTTGTTTTATAGTGTATCACCCCACCCTTCCCCTTCCAGCTGTTCCACTTTAATGAAAGAAGTAAACACATACAACCACTTTGTGTTGTTTTAATGTCGTTGCTCACTATTCATTGCCTGGTTTTATGTTGAATTACACTAAGATAAGGAGCCAGGGGGGCCCAAGTCAGCGGGATCGGATACTCAAGGGTCACTGGGACCGAACACCATCACCTCAGTCTTCTTTTCATTGAAATTCAATGTCAAAGTTTTGATGCATATGCAAATTTATTTTGCTTAAAAATTAAAGGTTGCTTTAGATCAGATCTTATTCAGGTCCTTCGTCATGTGACAATCATAGCTTGTAAAAGTCCTGGTACATAAACAAATGTGATTAATGTATTAATAATCCATTTCAACAATGTTTTTGGAGCCACACAAATCCAGTTGTTGATCAATACAATACAAAGTATTTTTTTTAAAAAAAGAGAAAGGGAACTTGATGTCATTTTTATTGTGAATTCAGTCTGGGGCAACATGGCCTTGTTTTTTTTTTGTTTAGTTTGAAATTGAATCCATAATCATCTTTATTCCACTTTGACTGCTGAGCATCTTGTCCAGTATTTTCATGTATTCTGGGTCGGTTTGACTGATGGCTGAGGTCAGATCAACGGTCTCTGAGTCTTTGGAAGCTGATGAATCTGTGCAAAAACCTTGCAAATTTAAAGAAAGAAAAGTCAGTACATATGACTTAAAAGCACAGTAATAGTTAATGGATTGAAAAGCTAATAGTTTGTTTTCTCGCTAGCCTAGTTCGCTAGCCCCACAGATTGTAACTCAGTCTCATGATCGAAGTCTAGAAAATGAAAATATAATAAAATCCTTAAACAATGTAGTGCCAGGAAAGTCTTGTACCGCTGTGCTGTGCCGCACTGGTTGGACAGTCTCTGTTTCGGCGATGTGGCCTTACGAAAGACCACCACATCATATTAACCCTTTCATGCACACTGTAACCTGATAACATGATAAGCCGCCCACTGTAGTAACCGCTGTCCCCTAAAGGGTTCATAAAAATGCTAATGTTCTCTCTCACCTTTGTCTGAGTCCAGCACGGTGGGTGAGGGTAAGTTCAGACATGCCGCCTGCCTCTTAAACTCGTCCATCTCGGCACTTGTCACCTTGGGTCTCCTGGCTGTTGAACAAGCAGAAGGTCAAAGGTCATTTTGTATTGTTATGTATTTTCATCACTTTTCTTACAGGTAACTAAACACATCTCTCCTCGGATATACTTTGAACATAGCCCTGAGGACAATAACCCACATTGGATAGCTTCAATGTCCAATGATAGTCGTTTTTCCCAGGTCATGATGATTAAAAAATACAATAAAAGAAAAGCATATTAAAGTCTGCAGTGTATAGCAAGATTTTCTTTTCTTTTTTAAAATTTTTTTTTTTTTTTATATATAACCCCCAAATATTGATCAAAAACACTGGCAACCATTAAATACACATTTTCAACAGAAAATGGTGCAGGTACCGGGGCTAGGGGGAAAATCCTGCAAAATAAATAAATACATCATTTAATTGTATTTCATTAAAAAAGGACCCCCCCCCGACAAACTATGAAAAAATATATCTGAATCTGCAGGACTTGACTGTAGTGGTAATATCACTTTTCACCACTAGGTGGCAGACATGACTTAGATACACCAACAGTGGGTTTTATTGTGCTCTACACTACAATGTGCGTAGGCCTAACGTTTTGATTTATTATTATTTTTTTAATCTCCTTTGTGAAAGCCCGTACGTTTTTGAAGAGGCTACCGTTCAAATTTTGAATCGCAGCAAAAACCCGTGGCCTCGGAACCATTGGGCCTCGCACGACCTACCCTCAACTTTTTGTGCCCTTTGACTCCTTTTATCACATATGTGTTCTATGTTGCTTATCAGCTCCATAAATGCATGGAGCAATTGATTCCGAAGTGATATTGAATTTTTTGATACGGTTGCCCATTTTGTTGAAAGTGCCGCCTGAGCACAGTGGTGCGCACTCCACGAGTTGTTCCACTGTCTCGGGTTGTCTATGACAAAACTAGCTGTGAGACAGTTCAGTCGGTTTTGGCCCCGTCGCTCGGCGTGACTCGAGAAAGGTGAACTGCCCAGCGAGAATATGCTGTTTTAATTCTTACTCAGAAGCTGCATGCCCATATACGTGCTTTCTCCAAGGGTATAATTGGACAACAAAAGGATGCAGTCGGGGCAGCTGGTCGTCATGAGAACCTCAGTTGCAGAGATGGGATACTCTAATGCAAACACACAAGAGAGACGTTTGTTTGCACTTTTTTTGTAAAAGCAAAGTCCAAAAATGAGCCCGAACAAAGATCAACATGAATGTTGGCAGCTCACCCATGTGGAGGGTGTTGTTCACTAAGGTCAGCTTCGAAGTGACACTGAAGCAACGGCCCAACCTTTGCAAAAACACAAACATTCACAATAGAACACATTGACAGTCGATGTGAGGTTAGTGAAAAGGTAAACCCAAACGTCAGCCACATTTACTGTACATTTTTTGGACTTGAAACACAAAGAAGGAGTCACTCTCATTGGCCGGATAGATTTTCCCCCACACGTTGTCCACAAACATCTTGGTGAGAGTTTTGGATCCTGGCATGTTGGTACTTTCCGCCACGTACGTCCACACGCCTAAGAACTGCAACGTACGGCGGAAGCGTCACTCGCACGCAGTGTATTCACTCAAGGAGGGAAGCATCTTACCTGGTCGCGACCTTGAATTTGCACCTGCCGGGTTAGCACATCACAGTCGGCCAGAGGAGCTGAGAGGGCCGCGGGAAGAAGCGCGGCAGCGAGAATGAACAGGAACATTGTGGCTCAGCCTTTCGATTTACGTGGAGATCTTGGAGCTGCTCAAGCTAGAATGATGGCTCCATCCGCTCCCAGCTCACTGAGTACATGTCTCAAAGTTCAGCCGTGTGTTTGCACATGTTTTGTAATGTGTTTTACATGCATCCATTTATTTGACAAACGCGTTTGAACTTTTTTTAATCTCATCTACAAAAGACGTGGCAACATTTAAAAATATTTGCCCAAACCCGATGTCAGGCGTGCTCTCACATTCACGTTCTCTCTTTCAAAGGAAAAGACACAAAAGTATTGTTTTGTGAGTGAACTTTAATCGCAAATCAGAGCTACACACTACTTGCAATAGGCTTGATTTGTTTGCATATGTTCGCAGATGTGTGGAAAGCAGAACACCGTAAAAGTGTTTCCCATCACAAATTCAATCAGTTGATAAAGATATCAAAAAGTTTGTCCAGCAATCGTGCAACCCGCTGTCCCATCTTGGCCTCTAACAAGGAGTTGAAGGCAGCAAGTCCATCCGAGGTTGCAATGTTGTCCGGGCAGAGTTCTGTGTAGATAAACGTATAAGACCTAAGATTTCTTAGTCTTTTGTATATGAGTGAGCTCAGGCTTCTCACCATAGCTTGGGTCCATCATGAGTGGAGAGGGCATCTGGAGACATTTTGCCTGCATCTTGAGCATCTCCACATCAGCGGGTGAGATGCTCTGTTGCCTGCCTGGAGATCAAGCAAGCAACCATCAACCAAACAAGCAGTCAGGCTGCAATCAACCAGGCGACAACCAATCTAGCCACACTCAAGCAAAACACCTTTCAGTCTTCAAACAAGCAATTATCAACTACTCACCGGTACTCATCAGTGAGGCTACTAAAATTAGACAAGTACTAACCAAGAAACAACCAAGCAAAGATCACCAAATGAACCCCTAAACCAGGGGTGGCCAACCAGTCAGAGCCTAAGAGCCAATTTTTTTACAGTGTTACTGCAAAGAGCCACACACTCACGCGCGCGCACACACACACACACACACACACACACACACACACACACACACACACACACACGACAACACGAGACACAGCCGCACAAACAAAAAACTTGTCACCAAAGTTGTCCGACAAGAAATCCTGCACTAAGGCGAAAGATTAAATCTTTTCGCAAGGAGAATTCAGATCGGTGCAGCAGATCTGGTAGAACGACGATCGATTGATTCGCTGACTAGCTTAGCACTTAGCACTTCACTCCGTTGTCTGCGCATGACCGGTGATTCAGTCATCTGATTGGTTGCCCTCTATGTCAATCAAGTAACGGGATTGCTGATAGGCTGACGTAGTACGTTCCGTGTTTTAAGCGCCGTTGTTTGAATTGCAGCGCTCTCGCCGAGGCGTTTTCCACAATTGTCTTGTGAAAGCCCAGGAGCCGCATTGAACCAGCCAAAGAGCCGCACGCGGCTCGTGAGCCACCCCTGCCCTAAACCATGCGAGAATTGACCAAAACAACAATGAGCCAAGCAACAATCGAGTCGCAGTCAAGAGACAAGTAACATAACTATGATCCAACAAAATAAAACTCAAAACAACTCAAAATCAATTCAGCGATAATCAAGCGCCTACCGAGCAACAGTCAACTCCACCTCGGTCCCAAAGTCAGTCATAAGAAAATGCTTCGCTAGGATGAGTGAGTGTCGTGTGTCTTACTGAAAAGCAGAAGACTCCGAAAAGCGTCTTGGTTGGATTTGACTTCTTCATAGACCACCAGACAGTCTGAGCAGTTGGTCTGCAGGTACACTTCCTTCAGATAGAACGGGCGCTCTGTCAAAAAAAACAAACGTGTGGAACTCCTGGAGAATGTTTATCGTGGATGCTTTAAAAAAAATCAGAGCTTGACTCCGCTTACCAATCAACATTGTGCTGTTTTCCATGGTCACGTTGTAGATCATCCCGGAACACTCACCGTAGCTGGAGGGAGAGTCCCCGGTAAACAATACAGAATGTTTTTTTATCATTGCAGCCGTGTGTTTACATTCTCTGCGTCTGGAAGATGGTGAGCATGTTGCTGAGGGAGGTGGCGCGGATGTCCAGCCAGATGCTGTTGAGCAGATGTCCCAGGGATCGACTTCCTGGGAGGTCAGAGCTTCCCCCGATGTACAGCCAGCGCCCCAACATCTTTATCAAGCCCAAAGCGCGATTTCCATCAAAAAGCATGCTTTCGCTCATGCAGTCTTGCTGTCAAACTCAAGGCCCGGCAGTCTGATCTGGCCCACGACATCATTTAAAAGATATACAAATCATGCACGTGTATGTCATATTTCTTGCTAAAATTGGTAAAGAAATTACAAGTTGTGTTCAACTTTGACCTTTTCCAACCATTGTTTGTTGCGTATATAAAATAAGATGATGAGGCGTCGATCCATTTTTTCTGGCTTCAGTCATGACAGCCCTCTGAGGAGAACCTTAAGTACAATGTGGCCCCATGGCAAAAAATAAAAAATTCCACATGCAGTGAAACCACATAAATCTATAATCGCGTGGAGTTTAATTATACAACAAAAATCTCAATTTAATGGCTGCGTGTCTTGGTTTTATGATTACAGTTCATATCACGTTCAGTACCGTAAATAGGGGGGAAAGGCTTTTGGGAATGTAAAGAGGGAGAGATTCAATGACATTTAAAAGAAAACAACAGCTCAAATTTTGTTTCTCGGCAAAGGGAACGACATATTGAGCATTATTGTCTTAAAAAAAGATGATGATGATTATTCAACTTTTGTACGGTGATAGCTCAAATGAGATCACTGGCGCACTGAAGGAAAGAATGCATCCACTTCTTGTTTCTGACTTTCTTGTTATTTCACTGGAAATCTTAACAATTAAAAAAGTGTTGGAGTACAAATATTTATTTTCACCAGTTATGTTTTGAAGATAAATTAGGCAATATTTGTTCGATGGTGTCATTTTTTTTTTTTGTTGTTGGTCAAAGTGTGCCAATGGTTTCTTCAGTTACTGAAACATACAAATGCATCGTCACAATATTTTAGTATTTACGGTACTATTTATTTTTGTTTAGTAGGGATTTGGTGAAAAATACATGCGCGGAAAACCAGTTAAAGTGAAGACAAATGTGATTTCAACAGATTTTCCGTCAAAATTAATATAGGAAATCCATTTGGCAAGATGAAGCGGACACCCTATTTGCTGTAGTAAGCAAGATAAACAAAACAAACAAAAAGTGGCAAAACGTACAAATGCAAGTGAATTGATTGAATCAACAATTTGCAGATGAGACTGCAGGTTTGCACTTACTTGCTCATTGCTGATGCTTATTGGCTTCAGGAGAGCGTCACAATTTATCGGCGGAGCAGCACGGCCCACGGAGAGAAGACCCAGCAAAAGAACGACCACACCACCGCACTCCATCTTTACATCTGACAGCTCTTCGAAGACGTTTTTACCCTTCCAGCTGCGGACGTTAAGCGACTCAAGAGAACTAGGCAGATAGATGTTTTTTTGTGTTTGGTGGGGAGGGGTGGACCTTGACCCATATGAGGAATGGAAGGAATCTTGATTTAATCGCTATTTTACAGAGCAGCTTTGTTGAGCCGATTATCACCATTAGGTCTAAAACCCCCAAACGTAGCTGAGAGGATAAATGTGGATCAAGTAACAGAGTAGTTTGATCCGCGCATGTGCTTTGCATCACTGCTCAAAACTCCTTCTGTGACACTGTGAGTTTACTTGAGATGACTAAGTGAAGACTGACTGATTAATTCATGCACGACTTCGACTTTCAAGACAAATGGCCCTTGTGGGTTTCTGTTTTAACTGCCCTTCTCTTTTGCACCACACAAGGGGTGCAGAACCAGAAATTCTCAAAACAAAGTGAAAAAGTGTCTCACTGGTAGTGTAGTGAGATTTGATCTTTGTTTGATCAACGGATACGTAATGGTGTCCACACTGGGATGTTTCTCATTTGATTGAATTAACACTGGCGTCCCCAACCACCAGACCGCTGCAGAGATATATATTTACAAAACTAATAATAGTAACAAAAGTTTGTAGGACACTGCTTGTTCAACAATAAGCAGATTATTTATAAAAGTAGTATTTATATAAAAAAGATTAAAAAAAAGAAGACAAAAGGGCATTTGGTTTTGAATCATGCAAAAACAAAAAACATTGTGATATGATGATAAATAAAATATTAAAATGACATTCATTTCAACTTTGTAATTACAACAATTAAGGTAACCAACGTTTCTGATGCATGGTCTTGCCCACATTTCCTGTCTGTTTACATTAGAAGTCAACAGACTGAAAAGTTTTTCCCCGCCCCCACTTTTTTTTTTTAATTTTTATAAAATCAGATTCATGTACATTCCTATCTCCAAGAGTGAAACACACCCACTACTAAATGCAAACACGGCAATTTAAACCAAAGAGACAATTTATCAAAAAACGTGTTGTTTTTTTTTAATTGAAGGTGACAAACTCTGGAACTAATGACTGTCTTCAAACACAACATGAATTCTCATGACGAACAAAAGAAGAAAAAGAAAACAAGGAGCATGTTGGGAGGACAAGAGGAGGGAGGGGGAGCTGAGGCAATGAGGTCATCCAGTGGTGGAGAAATGCAAAACGGCTGCCCCTCCACAACCTCCTCTGCTGCCACCACTTTTCCTAATGAGTGACGGCAAAGAGCAGATTGAGCAGCGACTGAAGATTGATGAAGACAAGTGACATCCGTCACCGGGGCATCCATTTTTCTCTCTCGTCTTCAGTGGGTTGGACAGACAACAGAAGGAGGGAGAGGGAAAAATGAAGAAAAAAGGAAAAACAGGAGGTGGCGCTCACTCCATGGCCTCCTGGTTCTCTTGGTCGGCGCCCATGTCCTCGCTGGCCTCTTTGCCCTCCTTGCTCCTCTTGCTCTTCTTGTGTTTGTGCCTCCGGTGGCTGTCGGCCTCTTCACTGTCATGCCTTCTCCTGCTGCTGCTGCTAATGGAGAGAGAAGCCCGAGTAAGTGCAAAGTTAGTAGCACAGTTGAAGGGAACAAGAGGTGAGTAGGAGAGAAAAGAGATGAGGAGGGGGGGAAGGGGGAGAATCAATAGACAGAAATGGAGTAAGGGACAGGGGGCCAAACGTTGGTGCTGTGACGCCAAGGCTGAAAGATGAGACATTGAGGGTTGTCATACCTGCGAGAAGATTTGTGGCGTCCCTCGTCTTTCTCCCGATGCCGCCTCTCCCGGTGTCGGTCCTCCTTCTCGCGGCTCGCCCGCTCACGATGGCGGTCTGTGTACCCGCGTTCCTGGTACTCGCGGTAACGGTACCGCTCCTCGTCGCTGCGGCAAGCGAGAGGCGTTTACTCAGGGTGGCAAATATCACACAGGGGCCTCAATATTTGCTATGAAGTGCAGTCATTTGACTGAGCAAAAACTGTCGCGGCAAGGTTAAGATGCACAAGTGTTTAAGAGACAGCTGAAAGCTCGAGAAAAATGTTGTGGCGTATAGTTCGACCTTTATGGCATGTCATTGCTCTACAAAATGTTTTTAATGTTGTGTAAATGAGTTCACGCTGATGAAAGTTTGGTTCTGCTTGAAACCAGTCAGAAGAATCGTATTTTCATCTCACCTTGTGTAGCCAATCACTGAGGGGCTATGATCACGTTCTCGCTCCCGCTCCCTCTCCCGCTCATGCGTCCTCTCTCGTGGCCGCTCTCTCTCCTTCTCTCGCTTGTCATCCCGGCGGGAATAGTAGTCCCACGGTTTGGAGTTGTCCATCAACGGGGGCCAAGAAGTGGGCACCCCTCCAGAAATGGGGGGAGGGTAGGCACCTGGAGACAATGTTGCAGTGGAAGGGTTTACAGGTTATGAGACAATGAATGCTGCAGAAAAAGAGATTTCAAGGTGTCTACCTTGAGGGAAGGCATATGGCGGGATAGAGCGTCCGTCGTAACCTCCAGCATGGCTGCAGAGAAAACGTGTGTCAATTCTTGTCATCTATTCTCAAAAATAACAATGACACAGTGGTAAAATGTGCTCAACCAATGATCAACAAGCAGATGTGTACGCCAACCAGATAGCATTAGCTCAGGCACTGCAAATACGACTTGCTGATGACTGTGCTTGCCAATGGAAAATTGTTATAGGACCTGAGTGAATTTTATAGCAAGACAATCTCATTCTGTCACATATTACCTGTCCATAGTCGGAATGATTGAAGGTGGGGGGCCACTAGGTGGAGGCGGAAACCCAGGAGGGGGAACAGTGATGGGCAACCCTGAGAGGGACAAGAACAGAAAGAAGAAGAAGCCTTCACATGCCATGCAAGAGGCGTCTCTGCATGGAGCGGCAGTGAAATAAGGCTTGGAACTCACGGGGGGGCGGGATGAGCGGCGGTGCCGAGCTGACGTTGGGTGGCGGCGGGAGGAAAGGAGGCGGGGGGATGTTTGGAGGCAGCGGTCCGGGGGGAAAGAAGGTGGGCATCTTCGTGGCGGCGGTATCGGCGTCTGATGTGGCGTGTTCAGAGATCACCTGTACGACCAAAAATTGTAACCCAACAAAGGAAAAAAAGCTCACGTTTGAAGTGCATGCAGGATAAATTGACGTTTCTGTGGCAGATGTGTCTTTAGAACCTGGATGTTATTGCCATCAAGATTGTGCCTGCGCCGACCTTCGACCCTACTGATGGTGGCCGTCCCTCCGCCAATCACATCTATGGTACCGCTCGTCTTCCTGAGACAAGAACAAAAATGGACAGTCACTCACCAAGCTCAGTGTGATTCGGCTAAATATGCTGTATTTCATTTTTCCAAGGTGCTTTTCGGGTCTTTTATCTTAACATAACAATGTCAAAATATCAGCGTGCAAACATCACGATACTTTGGCCATTTTCAAAACCTCCGTCCATTTGCCATTGCACTTGTCCTCCTTAGGGTTGCAAATGAGCTGCAGTCTTTCCCGGCTGGCTTTGGGCGAGAGGTGGGCTACACCCTGCATGCTTTGCGAGCCAATTTCAGTTTCAAGGCACGTACAGAGGAAAAAAAAAAAACAAAACACTCACTCTCACATATACACCGAAGCACAATTGTGTCTTCACTTAACCTTTTTATGCATGTTTGGAATGAGGGAAGAAGCCAGAGTACCGAGCGAAAAGCCACACAACCACTGGGAGAACAATGCAAATTCCACACAGGGAGGCCAAAGCTGAGATTTGAACTCAGAACCTCTTGACTTTGAGGCAGATGTCCTCAGTTTCAAAAAACTTGAGCCAAATTGTGGACAAAGCGTTCATTCCTCTCTCACAAAAAAAACAAAACAAAAACAAAGGGCACATTAACACCGAACTCATCTACGTCTTACTGCTTCCAAATTAAGTCTGAGGTTTATCAACTACCAAATGACACATTTTTTTTGTTTTTATTTGTTTTTTGGTGGTTTTACAAAAACACACGAGCCTCCCCCTTTCTTTTTTTCATAATTTCCCGATTGGGACAAGGCCGTGCCCACTTACGTATAATAGGACATATCCGGGACAGGCGGGCCAGTCCACTGAGGGGGGGAGATCCTACCAGGGGTAAAGGAAATGAGAGTAACAGACGCCAACACACAGATTTTTTTAGACGCAATTTTTTTAGATTGTGAAAAACATGGCTTTCCGGTTTAATACTTTGATGTTCGCCAATCATGTCTCCCTTTCCCGAATGGAAAGCAAAGCAGCGCTTCTACCTTTCGGTTGTCATGGACACTGACATGTATGGAGGCGTAAAGGCATTTCAAGTTACCTGGGGACCTGACTGGTGACAGACTTGTACAGGCTGACTGGAGAGGTGAAGTCTGATTTGGACGTGTGAAGAGCAAGACTGGAGATCTCCTTCTCGTTGCCTGTCCTGCCTTGTTGGACCTTGGAAGGAAATTTGAAGCAAACAAAAGATGATAAATTTGATTGCATTCTAATGATTCCCTCCTCAAAAAGACGAATAAAAGGACCGTGACATAGAAAGAACCTCAAACGTGAAATAAAATAAATAATATGCACTAACTTACAGTGATTTTACTCGTCGCCGAGCCGACGGTTGAGACTTCCAGGCCCATACGCAATCGTTTTTGCTTCTCACAGTAAGCCTTCCACGTGTCTTCGTTAAAGCCATAGTTGAAGTAGTCAGACAAATCCGCCCCTGCAAAACCACGAGAGAACATCATCCTTTAATCGGTCGCAAAGACTTGAGAGAATTTTCACAACTACTTCAAATCTACAAATGTCATGTCAAAGAATCAGCTTCAGATGAAAAGTCAGACTTCAGCACGATAATTACTAAGACTGAAAAATGCATGTATTGGTGAAATATTTGTTGATCAAATGTAGTGTGGAAGCCCAACAATTCCATCCTGACTACATTGATGGACAAACCCATGCAAACATACCCGGTTTCCTCCAGGGCTTTTCCTCAAACGACTCCATATCCACTTCAAGCACCGGGACACCGTTAATGTTACCAGGAGCCTCAA